CCCTTTGAAATCCAACTTGTACTTCTCGGAGTTATTGGTCCACATACTACTGGAGCCTACATTGTGGGACTTTGAGCGTAACCTTGCTAGCGTGTAAAATGAGTGCAATTGTACTGTAGTTGGAGCATTCTTTGGCACTGCCCTTCTTTGGGATTGGGATGTAGACTGATCTTTTCCAATCCTCTGGCCACTGCTGAGTTTTCCAAACTTGCTGGCATATTGAGTGTAGTACCTTAACAGTATCATCTTTTAAGATTTTAAATAGTTCAACTGGAATGCCAGCACCTCCACTGGCCTTGTTGTTAGCCATGCTTTCTAAGGCCCACTTGACTTCATTCTCCAGGATGTCTGGCTCAGGGTCAGCAACCACACTATCTGGGTTGTCCGGGATATCCAAATCTTTCTGGTATAATTCCTTTGTGCATTCTTGCCACCTCTTCTTCATGTCTTCTGCTTCTGTGTGGTCCCTCCCATTTCTGTCCTTTATCATATCCACCTTTGCACAAAATATTTCTTTAATATATCCTATTTTCTTGAACAGATATCTGGTTTTCCCCTTTCTATTATTTTCCTCTAGTTCTTTGCACTGTTTATTTAAGAAGGCCCTCTTCTCTCTCCTTCCTATTCTTTGGAAGTCTGCATTCAATTTTCTGTAACTTTCCCTATCTCCCTTGTATTTTGTTTCCCTTCTCTTCTCTGCTATTTGTAAGGCCTGGTTGGACAGCCAATTTTTTTCTTGCATTTCCTCTTCTCTGTTGCGGATACCCAATCCAATTGAGGAAGTTATATTGAATTTCTGTCTGAATTTGAAATTGAAAAGTACACTTAAAGTTTGCAATTCTACAAGCAACTTCTGGAATGCTGCTTCTGCTGAGGACTTGAGTGCACAAACTGTAAGATTTTTAATTGTTGTTATAATTACATATTGTCTATTATATAACTGTCAATACAAAAAGACTTATTTTGTGAAATTGTTTTTGCAAGATTCATGAAAACTTATCTAAGTAAACAAACAGCCCCACAGAACACAAAACTGTTAATCCAGCAGACTAAAAGAGAGGGAAAAAGACTTAAACAGAGAGGTGTGGCTTCTTTTGAACTCAGAGGCAGGGAAAGAACAATTGGTTACTGCTAGATTGATTGACAGATATTGCAACCCACAAAGGTTCTTCCTAGCCAAACCTACTGAAGACAGTATACAAGGTTAAAATAACACAGTGTGATT